TACTATGTAGCCCAGGCTGACTTCAAATTAAAAAGATCTGCCTGCCTCTGCCTCCCAAGTGATTGGTTTAAAGGTGTGCACCACCACCTTCTGACTGCCCCCCCCCCCCCCCCGGGGGGCCGGTTTTTTTTTTTATATATAAATAAAAAAACAAAATATATATATATATATATATATATATATATATATATATATTTTGCATTGATGAGTTTGTTATGCATTGGCCAACTACTCCTAGCCATGGGGCCTGCCCTGCAGTATGGCTGATATCACCAATGACATTGAGTATTAATTGCAGGTAACATCTTGGTTACCGGGTGGGACTTTGTGTCCTTGTTGGGCTTGAACCAGTGCAGGCCTTGTGTATGCTGCCACAGTCTGTGAGTTCATGTATATCCATCCTGCTGTTTCCTTGGAATCATCCACCAGTTCTGGCTCTTACAATCTTTCTGCCTCCTCTTCTGCAAGACATCCCGTTTAGGTCTGAGTGCTCCCAAGTCTCTCGCTCTCCACACATTGTCTGGTTGTGAGTCTCTCTGTTAGTTCCCATCTACTGCAAGAAGCAGCTTCTCTGATGAGTGTTGAGCAATGAACGCTCTGATCGATGGGTGTAGTATTATGTCATTAGGAGTCATTTGATTGCTATATTTATTTACCAGAATAATAGTAGATTTTTCCCTAGCCCCATGACTGATCTAGTTTTGTTTCAGTATTTTAGTCTTATTGGGTTGTTGTTTTTTTTTTGTATAGTTTGCGCATTTGTGTTGGTACTTGTTTTCTTTTGTTTTATTGAGAAAGAACATAAAGTTGGGTGGGCATGGGAGGTGGGAGAAGTTGATGGAGGAGAAATAATATGGTCAAAATATTGTATGAAAAATAATAAATAATTTTTACAAAAGAATGTGGTTATGGGTTTTTTCAAGAATCCAAATGTAGTCAAGTTCCCCTGCTCTTCTCTCCTCCCCAGGGACCCCTGATGTGCACATGGCACTCTTGCTTACAGCCTTCTCCTGTAAAGTTACTATTTTTGCTCTGGAAACAAATCCCTCAGTTCAGTCTTCCCTCAGAGATAGGAGGATTAAGTGCCTCTCCTGAAAAGGTAGCATCTATACACATTGATGGGTATGGGGTTATCAATTTCTTTGGCAGAGCTGAGGATGGAATTCGGAGCCTGGCATGCACTATGCCCTGCCATGGGCCATAGACAATCTGCGCAGTTTAGGGTATTTCCCCCTGGTTGCTCCTGTTTGGACACTCAGGCTCTTTGTGCTGCTCTCTTAATTTCCCTGATGTGGCCTCATTCTTTTTTTATTCTTTTCCCTTGAGCACTTTATTTTTTCTCGTACTATAAAATGGCCCAGGCATATCTTGTGGTTTTTTCTTTCCTAGCTCTAAATTCGGCCATGTGTCCAAGGCGCCCTGACATCTTTTATTGGAGAATGGTTTTTAGAAAACAATATCTGGCTGGGTGTGGTGGCACACACCTTTAATCCCAGTACTCAGGACGGGGCAGAGGCAGAACTCATATCTCTGAGTTCCAGGCCGACATGGTCTACAGAGTGAGTTCCAGGACAGCCAGGACTACACAGAGAAACTCTGTCTCAAAAAGGAAGGAAGAGAAAGAAAGAAAGAAAGAAAGAAAGAAAGAAAGCAAGGAAGGAAGGGAGAAAGAAAGAAGAGAGAGAGAGAGAGAGAGAGAGAGAGAGAGAGAGAGAGAGAGAGAGAGAGAGAGAGAGAGAGAGAGAGAGAGAGAGAGAGAGAGAGAGATGATTGATAGATTGATCTGGGACCCAGAGGCAAGGTGCCTTTCAACAGAGAGGAGAAGGGAAAAGGTACATGTCCCCTACAGTGTATGATGGCTCTGGGAGGAGGGCAGCTCTGTGTCTCCCCAAGTAAAGCCCTCACTGAAGGCCTGTGGTTTGAAGTTGAATACAATTATCCAAATGGAAGTCAGGGTTGAGGGAGCAGTGGAGACAGGTGGGAGGAATATGTGTTCCCACTGTGCACTGTGCAAGCATCTAGCTTTTTAACTTGAACTGACTGTAGACTCTGAGTGTAGGCCTTGTTCTGACTTTCTGTCTTCATCATACACAGATGAGCCATTCTTACAGCTTGCATTTCTCTAAGAGGGCTTTCCTCTGTAAGTTCTGAAGGTAGACTGTCCTTTGCCCTCTTTTAGCCCTCTGTCCCTCCCTCCTTCCCTTCCTTCCAGGTTTTTTTTTTTTTGTTTTTTTTTTGTTTTTTTTTTTTTTTTTTCTGAACTCCCTAGTTCCTGCTTTCTGCCATGCTGAATGCCAGGCCAGGGAGCACAGGGAAAATGTTCCAGTTCTTTCCTGTGAAGGAGTCCTGTCATCTAGGATGAGATCCCAAGGCTTTCTTCCCTTTAACCTTCCACCAAGTGTCTACTTTCTGTGGAGTGTTAGCAGTGTGTGGTCCTGTCAAACTGACCTGGTGTGTGGCTCTCAGCAAGTGTTTTCTGTTCACAGATAACAGTTGGTGTGTACGATCCCTGTAACCTAGCCCAGTATCCTGGATGGCCTTTGAGGAATTTTTTGGTCCTGGCAGCCCACAGATGGTATTTACATGTGTGTCATGTCTGTGTGTCTTCATCTATATGTTTCCCACAGTGGGTCTATTTATGTCAGCATCTTTCCTTAAGTGTGTTGATTTCATTCCTGGTGTAGAAACTAGAAAATAAGTCAATTAAATTAGCTGTGGTCCAGTTTCTACCCCTGGTGCTCCTAAGCAGGTCTACTAAGGAGCCCCAGCCCCAGCCTGTACTATGCTGAAGACATTTAGACGGTGGTGAGGTCATAGGTCATAGCCAGAGGCCATGACACTGACATTCTCCAGTCCTGCCTTCCTGCTTTTAGACAGGAATTTCCTATTGTTACTACCTCCCACCTTTGAAAAATTCCCTAATCCTAAAATAATAAAAATGGGCATTGGGAAGAGCCAACTTACACTTGATAAGACATTCAGCATCATTGGATATCAAGGAAATAACATTAAACCTATAAGAAGTCAGCAGCCACAGCCCCGCCAAAATCACCTAAGGAAAGTGACCATGACAGGTAGAGTTGAAATGGAAGGCAGCAAGATTCACAAAATATGCTGTGACACTTGTGGCAGGATCTGCTGGAGTTAAAAAAAACCATGGCTCTGTGGTGACATTCTGAGCTTGTTGCTTACAGGGTTACAGGCTGGGAGGCAAACAGCACACACACACACACACACACACACACACACACACACACACACACACACAGAGGCACACATGCTCACACAGGCACACACAAGCATGCACACAGTGTATAGCAGCACTGTGGTTACCAGCCCCAACCTTGTCCTCTTCCATTCTGAATGGATAACAGAGGCATAGGAGGCTCCTCACAGCAGGTGTCCTATCTGAGCATGTCTTCATGCATAGCTTTTCTTTCTATTTTTTTAAGGCTTATTTTAAATTTTACGTGTATTGAGTGTTTTGCCCATGTGTGTATATGCACCACATTTTTGCCTTTTTGTAAAGACAGAGTCTTATTGTGTAGTCATGGTTGACTTAGAACTCACAGACATCTGCCTGCCTCTGCCTCCTGAATGCTAAAATTAAAGGTATGCACCACTACAACTGGCTATAGATGGTTTTTTAAACACAACATTGAGGGAATTAAGCCAGCCTGAAAGGAATACATGTCATGATTCCACTTATGTAGTTCAAAACAGGCAAAGCCATTATGGGGCCCTAGAAGGGGATGGTCCAGATAGGTGTAGTCAAGCTTAGAGGGATTGTGTGATTTTTCTTTGTGTTTGATTTACTTAAGTAAAAAATGTTTACTCTAAAATATGAAGATAGACAAATATTGACAGCCCCTAGAGAGACTGGTTATTCATGCACTCAGCCAGTCCAGCACTTTTGCTGTGTATCTCCTGGCTTCTGGCAATGGGCCTTAGGAGTCCCATGTTAAGATCTTGGGAGCATCCCACCCCAGATTTAAAAGCTTTCTTTGTCAGAATTATCTGTCTGCTGTGTGACTGCTATAGAAAAATTCACCTGAGGAAAAAAAAAATCCCAGCTAAATTGGCAGCCAGACTCTAAAATGCACAGACAGAGGGTACTTGCACGAATGTGCTCAAAATCTCTCCAAGGTTAAGGAGGTCAGACAGAAGTGATTGCGTGCCCTGAATTCTCTGCAGCTGGCCTGGAAAACACTTACGCCAGCTCTTTTTCTCCTCCTTTCTTATCAAATGAAATAAACACAAACCCGGTGTGGGCAACAGGAGCGGCAGTTTCCAGTCTGTTGAAGTCCTCTGCTTTCGAGACCGCACCATGCAGGGGACGAGAGATGTGGCCCACAGCATCATCTTCGAGGTGAAACTTCCAGAAATGGCATTTAGCCCAGGTAATTGGCAAGTTTTTGCCAATGTGTGTAATGATGAGTGACCAGAGACCCAGAAGACACGGCTCCCACCTCGCAGGCAGTGTGAGCACCTACCTGGAAGAGAGGGCAGCTGTGTTCAGCCCTGAGCAGAGGCTGAGTTGTTTGGCAGCTTCTCCAATGGAGTTTTTCAGTCTGGGGTGGGGTGGGGGTTTCTCCAGCTTTATTTTTATTTGTTTCATTTTTGAACAACACAAATTCTTTATTCATGCCTCTTCCTCCAGGAAGGGTGAAGTTGTTAATTAATTAACGTGTTTATTCATTGAGTACTTGAAGGTGTGTGTGACCCTGTTCTCAGAACAGAGTATCAGTCAGCAAAGGGGCATTTCTCCTTCCACGTCTAATGCCTTCTCTCACCCTTGCCTGGCAGGTATTAGCGTTTATCCAGGTTTTATAGATTAGGAAACAGTCTTCGGGGCATTTTACAAACAGTGTTAGATGTGTCTGTGCAAATTTATTCAAAGTGTATGTACACACATGCAATGCACATACACTCAAGGTAGAATTCATGCCCAAGTTTGAGTGAATGGGGAAGATACACACACCATAAAGTACTGTGTGAAGTCACCACGTAGTTAGTGTCCAGTCTATGATGCTGCTCACTCAGGGCTCTTTTAAGCTTACTGTCCACACGATCACTGTGCATAGTTCTTTCCAGGTGAATCCCCTGCATCACAGTGCAGCTCCATATAGATTGCACAGCTCCTCCTGATAAGGCAGTTTTCTTCAGTGCTCGTCTCTACCCAAGTGCTGAAGTCAGAAAAGACCCAAGATTGCCTCTTTCTTGTTGACTCTGTGCTCCAGCATGAAGATTATGAATACAACCCGAGAGGTGAACAGAGAATCCTCTGCTTGGTCCAGGGAGGAAGCCACTCCCTCCATTCAGAGGCTTTCTGATTAGCTTTTGGCTTGGCGCCCTCTTCTGGTGCATCCTGAAATAGCTCCATGGCATGCTCCCTTTGGATGCACTAAGTTGTCTTTAAGTTGCAACTCAAAGATAGGGTATGTGGAGAGTCACTAAAAAGTGAAGCCAAGAAGATGCAGCCACCAGACCCCTTTCCAATGCTCTTAATTTTATTCCATGAGGACACTGTCTTCCTATGTCTGCACCGAGCCACCCTGCTGCTCTCTCTGGTGTGACTTATGCTTTTCAATCCCAGGCCTAGGTTCATTCTACATCTCCATCTTCTTCATACTCCATGTTGAAGAGTGGTTACTCATCTTAGAAGGGGCATTTTCCTTTTGTTTTACATATATAAATTAGTGTTTCTACTTAGCTGCAAATAAAGCTCTATAATAAACATTATGACGACTTACTTAGCATCATGATGTGAGCCCAAGGCGTTTCCATAGCCACACTCTTCAGTGTAGCTATGTGTGTCATAACAACATCACATCACATAGCATGGTGGTCCCTTAAGAGTCTGTTGCCTAGGGATCTTTTGGCCTCTTAATTTGTGTAAACGTACTCTGTGCGTTTTCAGAGCAGGTCAGCCAGCAGCCTGTCATTTCTCAGAACTCCCCTGTCATTAAGTGACACATGGCTCTCTATCTAAGGCATCCCACAGTTGAAACAGCAGTGATGTGAGAAGAGGCAAAACCTCCACAGTAGGTAGAAGGCTTCTCTGTGCACTGGCTGAAGCAGCCGTGGCCACTGCTGGGGATGGGCTGCAATCCCAGCTTCTCCTGCCCCTGTGCTCTGCCTGGTTCCCGGCTGTGAGTGGGCATCATCTCATTCCCAACACATTCTTCCTTCATTTAGGCTGTGTGTTATGAGGATGGCTTATATAGGAGCAGATTACTAATCTCCATATGTAGTCTTTTTCATTATTAATAAGTTTACAATGCATCTAATTTTCTTAGCAATGGCTGTAGCCAACCAAGCATGGTAGCACATGCCTGTGGTCCCAGAACTTGGGAAGTGGAGGCAGAAGGGTCATGAGTTCAAGGCTACATGAGTTCCTATAGATAGATAGATAGATAGATAGATAGATAGATAGATAGATAGACAGACAGATAGATAGAAAGGGGAGGCTTATATGTAGATATTTTAATTTGAAATGTCCAGTTGTCTTAGATGCTGTTTGTATAAAGGGAGACCATGGTTTGTGTCATGGTGGTAGTATCTGAAAAGCATTTTTAAAATATAACATAAGGACAGTTTAGAATAATGAATTCACAGTAGAAAGTGAATGAGGAGCTCTGAAGGCTTTTGTCCCTTAGGAAAGGAGTCCTGTCACCTTCATCTGAGCATATGCATGAGTTTGAGTGTGTGTGTGCTTGAGTGTGTCCTTAAAAGTGAACATGTGAGTGTGTGCATTAGTGAGTGTGCAAGCATGAGGGTTTGTGTAATTGTGTGCACACATGTGTCTGTGCCTGTGAGAGGATATTTTATATGTATGGTTTGGAGTGTTAGTGTTTGTGGGCTTGCACACATATGGGAGGGTTGTGTAGTTGGTTGTTTTGGTTTTTTTTTTTTCTCTTTGGTCTTTGGCACCTGCCACCCAGCTCCCAAATAAGCACACAGAGGCTCATTATTACTTATTAAGCTTTTCTTAAATTATCCTGGCTACCTTTTGACTCTGGACTTTTCTCTTTCTCTCTTCTATATACCTTTCTTTTCTTCTTACTTACTCCGTGGCTGGCTGTGTAGGTGGGGGGCTGTATGGCTGGGTAGCTGACCCCTAGAGTCCTCCTCTCCTTCTCCTTTCATTCCCCAATCTCTCTTCCCAGATATCTATTTATTCTCTTTGCCTCCCAGACCCACCTATCCTTTCTCCTGCCCAGCTTTTGGCTGTTCAACTCTTTATAAGACTGGTCAGGTGTTTAAGACAGGCAAAGTAACACAGCTTCATGGAGTTAAAACAAATGCAACATAAAAGAACGCAACACATCTTTGCATCATTAAACAAATGTTCCACAGCATAAACAAATGTAACACATCTTCAACTAATACTCCACATCAGGATTGTGTGAACTGATACTTGTATGTGAACATGTATAGACATGTACATATGAATGTGTGTGGGTTTGTAAGTTTGTGTGCATAAAGGGCCTTTAAGTATTTTTACATGTACTTATGTGTGAGTGTTTTTATGTGTGTAAATGTATACCATGTGTGAATGAATACATGTGACTGTGACTGTATGTGAGCATGCATTTGTGAACCTATATATCTGAATAAGTTGGCATGAGCATGTGTGTGGGGGTCTGTCTTAGTGTGAGTGAGTGTGAGTATATGTATGTGACTTGGTATGCAAGCCTATAAGTGCATATGTGAATATGAGTCCACATTTCTCTGTTAGTGTGGATGCATGAGTCAGTATGCATGTGGGTGAGCATGTGTAAGACTGTGTCTATGTTTCAGTATTGCATGTATGTGATGGTTTAATCTTTGAAAGTATATGTAGGTGAATGTATTATGCATACCTACCTAATGTCAATGTATTTGTGGATGTGTGGGTGTCTGAGTGTGAGTGAATGTATATTTGAGTGAGCATGTCTGTCCATATGTGCGCATATGTAAATATGACACTGTCAGAATGACTTTTGTCAGTGTGTATTTGTGGGTGTCTTAGTGTAGGTGAGTGTTTGAGTGTACAGGAGTTTGAGTGTGAATGTGCATATTTGTGTGCGTGAGTGTTCTGTGTGTCTTGTATTAAAGCCTGTGCATGTGTTTTAGCATGTATGTGTGTGTGCCTGTGTGTAAGTGTGTTTGTGAGTGTGTGTGTAACTGATAATGAAACACAGCTCCATTATTGCAGCTTTCACACACTGAGTATTGCTCTACTACCAAGCAGCAGCCCCAACCCAGCCCAACCCCAGGCCCAACCCAGCCCAACCCAGGCCCAACCCAGCCCAGCCCAGCCCTGCCCCAGAGCCTTACTTAAAGCAGACATTGGAAGTGATACTGAAATGTAACCTAAGGCTGAGTTCTCTGCTCAGGAGTTGAAGCTTTATTCTGAAGTCTTTGAGAAAAGAAGAGGACAGAGGTCCCACACAACAGCAGAAATTGTGGGAGGTCTTGTGGCCCTGGGGGGTTTCTGTTAACTTCAGGACATGGAAAGAGTGCTCCACAGTGACAGATCTACATGTGTAGAAATATCCCATCAGTCTTTGTAGCAGAGAATAAGATAAACTCTGGAAATTCTTGGATTGGAGTTTCAGGGGCTCCTAAAACAGGAGTTAAAAGAGGGCAGTCAGGCTGGAGAGATGGCTCATCAGTTAAGAGCACTGGCTGCTCTGGCAGAGGTCCAAATCCCAGCACCCATATGATGGTTCAAAACTGACTCCAGTTATAGGGAATCTGATGCCCTCTTCTGGCCCCTGAAAACACTGCATACATGTGGTGAATTAATATGCAGGCAAAACACTCACATACATAAAATAAAAATAATTTCTAAAAAAGAGGATGGTCAAAGTGAAAAGAAGACACAAGGCCAAGTGGGGGGAAGAGAGGGCAGCTAGGGTGAGAGGGCTTAGCCTGTAAAGTGCTTGCCACACAAGCCAGAAAACATGAGTTCAGACTTGTTTTTATTTCCCCTTTTAGTAAACTTTATGTTTTGTTTACCTTAAGATTGTCCTAAAGCTGTTGGCTGGGAGAAGAACCAGAAAGGAGGCATGGGACCAAGGATGGTGAACCTCAGCGGATGCATGGACCCCAAAAGGTAGACATGACGGGGTGCCCTCGTGTCCATCGGGTTGTGGCTGATCCTGTGCTGTGTGGCTCAGGGATGCTGGTCCTGGTAGTGAGCCAGCCACTGCTGGTCTTGGTTGTCTTGAGGGTTAGTGTGACAGACATCCTGAGGCATGCATGGCTTCTCCACTCTTGTTTCCAGTGCAGACTCTCAGACACCTGGACCTCACCACTGCCTTTTCTAGTCTTTATGGTTGTTATCGTTTAGAGAGTCTTACTATGCAGCCCTGGCAGGCCTGGAACTTGCAGCAATCCACCTGCCTTTGCTTCCTTTCTAGTTCTTTATTCATGGATGCAGGCAGTCAAATGGCTGGATTATATAGCCCAGCTCCTGGGATGGAGAGTTCAGGGTAGGGAGTGGAATATACCTGCCCTGCCTGAAGGATATTATAAGGAACATTGATTTGTGGAGAAACCACATCACTTTCAAGAATGAGAATCTGTTGCCCTTTATTAAGATCTGGGAGAGCTTTCCATTCTTGGAAGGGCCATTCTTTTAAGCTGATACAGCAGCCCCGGACTGCTCTGACTTTCCCTTTCACCTTGCTGTTAGGAGATCCACATAGGAACTTTGGCCAGGCCAGCAATCGCAGAGGACAGTGACATGCTTTCTGTGTGGTAACCTTCCTCCTCTCTGTTACCTACGAGCTTCCTCTTATTTTTACTCTGACTCTGATTGCCTAATTATTTCCATCTTGTTTCCTCCCACTTATCATGTCTATCTCTTAGAAATTAAGACTGGAGCACATGTGAATGTGTTAGATCTCAAACCTGGGTCAAATGACTGAGGTGCCCATTAACACATCAAAACAGACCTGGCCACCAGGTTCTCCCGTCACCCCTCAGTCCCTGCCTGTTACATGGTATGGCTGGCATATTCCACTCCCTACCCTGAACTTGCCATCCCAGGGGCTGGGCTGACCTTCCCTATATAATCCAGCCATTTTGACTGCCAGTCTCTCTCTGCTTTTTATTTCTTTTTATTTATTCTTTGTGTCTTTCACATCATTCATCTTGATCCCATTCATCTCCCCGTCCCTTTGTATCTGCCTTCTGCACTTGCAACCTCTCCCTAAAATAAAATTAATAGAAAAAAAGACAAATCTCATCATGGAAGCTATACTGTGACACAGAGAGTCACACAGTTTACCCTTTAGTCCATAGATCTTTACTTGCAAGTGTTCCTTGCAGAGTCATTGGTCTGGTTCTAGGTTTCTGCTCACTATTGATAGTGGGCCCTCACTGGGACTCCTGGATGTCCTGTTGTTACCTTGTGTCATAGATATCTTGTAGTTTGAGGTCCACAGAACTGGCCCCTTCATGTGCTCCACCAGATCATAGATGGGGCGGATGTTGGAGTGGGCCAACTCCTCATTTTGGGCCTGGAAAGTTATAGAGTTGTTCATCCCACCAGCTCTCCCTGCTCTCACTACCAGGGTAAGATCTCCAGCATTGCCCCGGCTTCAGCTGGTGAGGGGCAGGGAAAGTACTCTCTCCTACTCGCCACAGGCAAGAGAAGGGGGAATCTCTCCCCAGCTCACACCACCATATGGCAGATGAGGGGTGGGGGCCTCCCAAGCTCACATTCTCAGGCCCATTCACCTGCACCATCTACAGTGAGGTGCAGGACCCACTTTTCTGAGCGGTGCAGCCAGTAAGGGAAGGGTCAGCTCCCTTGTCTACAGGGGAGGAGGGC